GAACTTTTTTAAAACGAATTAAGCGATCAAATTAAACCTATTGTTAAAAAACTGGTAATACTGTTACCACACACAAAGTATAAACACTATTCTTAACTCTGTACTATTTAAATGTTAAACATAATGCATTCAGCAGTTTACAATTCAATATTGCTAGAGAGAAAAGTATGGTAGTAGTAAACATAATTGGTATGTGTAATTCGAAAGCGGTCCTAATAACTTAATTGGTCTTAACCAAGGAAAATGTTAGCAAATGGAACTCTGAAGTCGTAGTACACCAATAAACAGTGGTATTTTCTAAAAATAATTCTCTAAATCATGCATAACCATATCAAGAGTAATAAATATTTCCAACATGCCGGTTAATGATACATGCAATTAAATATTCTGTATTCTAGTTTATTCTATCAAAGCAAACCCTATATATATATATATATATATATATATATATGCTGCTCTATAGAATTCAATAAAATAGGCATTAAACAATTGGAATGAATTCGTTAAATCAAACATTGATTAGTATGTTAACAAATCAAAGCACAAGATGATGATGATTATGATGATGACGGTAAAGTTAAATGATGCTAGACAAAATAAAATGTGGATGCCAAGTAAAATCAGAGAAACTATAAAACGAAACAAATGTTGAATGAAAATGAAGCAAGTTAATAAAGGTGTTACAAACATTTATGAACTCATTTAGGGTCATAAACCGATCAATGTTAGGTCACTACTGAAAACATGGAAGCTCTGGACGGCGGTTTTGTCCAGTATGGGACCCCTAAACAGTAAGCATCCACAACTCCGAACGCGGGAATCGAACCCAGAGCCGGTGAACGCCTGACTTCTAAACCACTGAGCCGAGATCTAACAGTGTTAATGTCTAACTTCAGTCAATCCAAATTTATTGTCTGCTCAAACATTGGTTGGTTTGTTTAGTGACTAACTACTGAACGAGATCGCCAAATTGTTCCAAGTAATTGAACCTAATTTGGAAGTGCAAAATATCTTCAAAGAAATATTTCTACAACCTATTTGTGCTACACACTGACTATACCAAATGCAAATAAAACTTTATACAAAAAACTCTTAAAGATCATTTGTCGAAATCGATAACCAGTGATGAATGTTGTTTGGACTTTCTGTAAATTTAACGAAGCAAATCAATTGTGTCATTGAAGAAAAAAAATAAAGACAATTCAACGAACAAGCGCTTTTTAGATCTTAAAAGTTTCATGAATCTGAATGGGCACCCATTTATGATGAGTGTATGTTGGAGCTTAAATAATTTGTCAGCTATTGTGTAATTGGAGCATATTACTTCGGCCATCAAAGATAAAGAGTGAATTAAGTTTCTCTTTCTATTTAACAAGACTTAGTTTTGCAAATTCATATACTGACCATCCAAGTTAGTAGAGTGTATATAGACTTTTATAAGGAACTATCTGACTTTTTCTCAATAAGACACCAAGGAAAAGAAATTCTAAATTCACCTCTGCTTCAAATGTGAACTTAAATGACTGACGATATTAAAGTCCATATTTTTGTCATATGAAAACAAAATCTTCTCTGAATTGTCATTTTTTGCAATTATATTCATAAGCGGATGATAATCTTATTCACTGGATAATTCATAATTGCCAAGTTTAAATCCAAAACTAAACAATTTCATCCAAACAGATTAACTGAAAATTTATTTATGTATTAACAAATATCTACCATAAAATAGATGCACCAAAAAACTAGGCCATATAAGTTACGAAATTTAATGTGTTGGGTTTTGGTGTTAATAATTATCAATAAAAAAATGGGTATAAACAGAACGATACTAGTAGTCTACTAAGTAAAATAGTGAAAATATGTAGCATGTCGTTACCCCATGATACCATTAGGCTTACTTCAAATTAGGATACTACTGATTATAAATGGAATTATTATACATTTCTTGAATATGTTGAAGTCTGTTAGAGTGATGGCTATTGAATCATATATAGTACTTCAGAACAAATATTAAACAAAACTGATGAAACTAATCAGTTATTACAAACATACGCTATACACCAAGTCATATTACTATCATTCTAAACATGGACGTAGATCCACCACGATTTTGTAAGCAAAGAAAACAAATTTATTAACTATATATAAACAACTTACTAGACTACTAATATTACTACTAATAAATCTATCTTAAAGGAAATATTTGAACAAGATGATTGGTAGTGTGGATATGCTTGTTCTTTTGCTACCGAAAGAACATCCCTACAGGTAATTCCCATATGATCCAGTCTAACTAAGCGTATCAACAAAGTTTGATATTCGTTTGGAAGTATTTCCATTTTACTGAAAATAATAATCACTAGTAAACAGTAAAAGAACGTTTTAGGAATTGATTCTTATAGAAAACAAATGTAACGTATGAGTTGTCATTAAATTTAAGGAGATATTTTGGGTCCCGCCCTATGATACCTGATAGTATCACATATGATACGAGAAAAATTGTTCAAGGAAAGTGAATAAATATTTATTATTATTAACTGGTTTTACACACTTGGATTTTAAATTCAATCAAATAATAACCACCGTTAAATCACAATTTTCTTATTTGAAACTTACAGATCACGACTAAAACTGAACATATTACTTAAATTGTATAAAAAATTACTGACCTGGTAGATTGTTAGTATACCCACCATCCAACAATAAACTTCCATCGTAAGGATCACATAATGGTGGCAAATAACCAGATAATGACATGCTTGCACGTACATATCTCCAAGACGATCCTACATGTATGTGTATGTACGAATCATGTGTATGCGGACACATCATACATAGATATTAATAAATCAATGAATAAGTAAAAATGTGAATAAGCATGAAAATGATTCGAAACATCAAATGTTTAATTGAAATCAATTGGAAGAAATGAAAAAAATAAAAAGCTATTTAATTTTTAGGCAATAAACATAAATAAGTAGATAGATATTCACTGTTAAAAAGCAATATTCTTATAGCAAGATTAGTAAGCGGATTCAATTATTAGACATCTATTTATTGTGCATATGTGAATATAAACAGATTACATTTTTACGGGCATGCTATCTATTGTTACTGAATTAGAAATTTCATTTGAATTACATATTATAATGTCGCTCTTTGTGAATCACCATGTATTAGTGAAATGATTTTGATGTTATGATAAATAAATTGAGATTTTGATGGTATTGTTTTACAGCAACACTACCTGGAACATTGTTCAAGAAACTACCGTCAGCCAGTAAGGCACCATCATATGGATCACAAATGGGTGGGTCCAATGGTGGATATGTTATAGCACCACGAATATAACGCCAAACAGACCCTAAATAGTGTCGTTATGAATAGGATATGAAAAATTCATTATTATTCTTTTGAAAATAAGCTACCGATCTACATAGTTTATCAAAGGTGAATTAATAACGTCTACGATTGACCACGAGCAGCAGGTAAAACAAATCACATGGAATAAAACACAAAATATAGTAGGATAATAAATATAGAAACTAATCCTGAAAGGAGCTACAAAATAGTATCAAAAACGACTTTTGAAAAACTCCTACGAATGTGGATCCACAAATAGAGCTGTTTATAGAACAGAAAGAGAAATGATCACCCTAGTTTTTGGTGGAGTTTTGTTCTCTGAGCTGGATGGTTTGGTCAATAAATTGGACAATAAATTGAAAATACATCTAAAATAAATTTATGAAATCTAATATATTTAATATAACTACTGATATATCCTACTAAGTAAATGTAAAGCTGAAAGATGTCACTTTAGTGGAGGCTTTATTGTTCAAAATTTAATCTGTTTAAGGAATCTACTTTATCCAAGTATTCTAACTATGAAATTCGAAAACAAGCAATTCAACAACAGGTAGAAATTAAAATAATAATAAAAACAACAATTCATTAATCCAATACGACCAATTAAGCATAGAAACATAAACACAAGTGCTCATTGAATCTCATGAAACGTCCAAAGGAAATCAAATATTTCCATTTGTACCATATATATTGATTTATGTGATATTCATTAAATATGATTTTATTTCACATATATTTAATCCGATATGATGTCCATAATCATATCAAGTTATATAACTTATTAGAAAAGAAGTCAAATTATAAGTTCAGTAGATAAGATGACAATATGTTCAGAACGTGATAAGCGCTCTCAGTAAAAGGAGATATTATGATGAGATACTAACCGACAACACAACAATTACTATATTAAGTACAGTTATTTCTAATAAATCAGTGAGCTTCTATACACAGGATTATATAAAAAGAAACAAGAAATTAACAGATACTAATGTCCATACAAAGAGTGTCACAGATGAATTAATACAGTGAATTAAGCAGTTTTTGAGTAAACTGGAATGATTTTTCTGTGATTCTTTAAACTAGTTAACTAAGAAGCATATATTGTACCAGTACAAGTAGTTCATTCGATCAACCTATGAAGTGTGCGTTTAAATTTAGAAATATCTTTAGATATAAACACTGTCTATAACTTTAATTTATACTATACTGAAGAGAGACCACAAAATATGACGAATCCACTTTACTAAGCCTTAATTATTTTTTTTAGCTTTGTTCAAATTCAAAAATAGAACCAATTATATGGAATACAAAATAAACTTGATCATGAGAAATACCAACCCTAATCATATTGGACGATAACCTATGCCCCTGAATTCATCATTTAGTGAAAAAGTTTCTTTTTCTTAAAGGTACTAAACGAGCATATACGACTAGTTTGAATAGCTTATTTCAAACAGCTGTTTATTAAGAAGATTCGTGGATACCAGACAGTTTGAAAATACACATAAACATTTCTATTCAAAATCAGTCAGTAAAAAAATACTGCTGCATCACGATGGCTTCCAAACATTATTACATAAATAGTAAAAATAACCAAAACAAATCACTACTATGTGATAAATTATTTTTACCTTGTGTATGAATACGCATTTTACAATTTGTTATATCTGTTGTTACACAAAAGAAAGGAAGCCAAAAATCTTCAATTTGACGGTCATGAAATGTCGATTGAAGTTGACGATTAAGTTCTTTACCTATTAAAATAATGACAATAAACGTATAAATAGAGAAGTAAACGATACAGGTGACCTCTTTAAACTATTTCTGACGGTAAGAGATCTTTTGACTTTGTAGAATTTACTGAATAATGTTACGATTGTAATTTGCTATATTCATGAAATATACAAGTGAACGTATATATTCCACAAAAAAATTCATTTAAAATAAAATTACAGAGTATTAATGTTTGAAAATAATAAATGCACAAGAAATTTGGGTCTCTTGGAGAACGTGATACCTCTAAGCCACTAAAGTGAAATACTATGATTTATATTCCCAACTTCAAAGAATTCAATGTACATTATGAAGATCACAAAAATATCAAGTAGAAAACATACTTCAGTAGTAAAATACTTGGAAAATATATATTGATGCCTAAGAAACAATGAATATATTTTATTAATTTTGTAACTAATAAACAGTCTAATTGAAATTATTTACTTTAATTAATATACATAAGCAATACTAATTTGATTAAAATACTAACTACATTGAAAAGCAAATCACAAAGCGACTAAGTGTAACGATGTATCAAAACGCTGATATCTTACAAGAATAACCAGGAAAATTCACTTTTCACTCTTAAAAAAGGCTGGCAGTTCAAGATTTCACAAGCGATAACATAAAACAAATAGCAAATAATAAGAGAAATCTCCTCTTTTACGGATCCAGCTATTCACTAATGAAGTCAAGATAGAAAAATAACATATAAGGATAATTAATTAATTAATTTCATCAGATGTAACTGATTTTCAATAGTCGTTTGGTCATAGGTAACGTAAGATCGAGTAAAAGTGTATAGGCACAATACACACATATATATATATAAACACAAAATATTAACAAGATTATACGTAAATGAGCAGAAACAATGAAATCGATCACAATGCAAAACTAAATCTAAACATTATAGGAAGAAATCGACGGGTAAAACTGAAGAATGAAAATTATGGAATGGCAATCAACCCAAAATTTCAACTAAGATAAATAAAGAATTTAAGTGCGTGGATACGACTGGCTTTTGGACCATGTGCTACCTAACGTCTTAACCCGTATATTACGATGTTAGTGTGGATTCTGTGTAGACTGATGGCAAAGGCTAGAATAAGCAAATAATGATTTTATCGCAGATTACTGGCCGCTAGGCCCTGGATGCTTGTCGAAAATTATTCATATTCCAGCTAATGAGTAGTGTATTAACATAGATAGGTAACTGAACGTATGAAACACATATCCAAACCCAAGCAATTGATTCTCTCCACACAAAAAACAAGAGCAGAAATATTTACAAAATAGAATTAATTTATTCCACTTAACTGCTTACTCTTCAACAGTATACAGGCTAATATACTGATTTATTCCCAATCAAATACATTTTACTAAGTGTATAAAATGATTCAATATGAAATGAAATGAAAGTACTATTTATTAATAACTACTGTTATCCAAAAAGGAAAAGAAATCGAAACATTCTGCACTTAATTATATTAGACGATAGATAACATTAAGATTATAGATAGTATGAATATATTACGCTTTTAACATATTATATTAATAGTTTATACTTGATGAACAAAATATTTTGCAAACATAACTTAATCGTTGAATGAATGAAATTCTTTATTTAACAAATTGAATAAAAATTAATTCTTTAAAATAACATATAAAAATCGCATATTCAATCCTCTGCCCAAGCCATGCAATCCGCACTTCATCGGTTGGCAATCAGTGTCCGTAGGTACGGTAGCTGCTTTGCACCTTCGAAGTGCAAACTACTTTTACAAGACTGACAGGATCCTGATCCTGCACTCACCCTGAGTGGTGAGCAGATAGAAGTAGTCGAGAAGTTCGTGTATCTAGGTAGCTATACAAGTGCTGGTATTGACGTGAGTGATGAGATCAATGCACGTATAGTGAAAGTCAGAGAGGACTATGCCAATCTCGGCCATCTTTGGCGCCTTCGTGATTTTAGTCTGGCTGCAGAAGGTCGGATCTACAACGCGTCGGTGAGAGAAGTCTTGCTCTATGCTTGGGAAACCTGGCCTCTCCAAGTTGACGATGTTAGATGACTCTCTGTGTTCGATCAACGTTGTCTCCGAAGGATTGCTGACATCCAGTGGCAACACCATGTTAGTAATGCAGAGGCTCGGCGTCGTGTGTTCGGGCACAGCGACGATAATGCAATTGGTGTCACCATCTTGAAACCTCGACTTAGACATTTTATGGCTTAGACATGTTCTACGAATGTCGTCCCAGAGAATTCCACGTCGTGCATTATTTGCCGACGCTGGGACTGGTTGGGAAGAGCGGAGAGGTGGTCAGTGTATGACATGGTGTCGTGGTATGAAAGAAAGCTGCAAAGGGCTGGCTTCTGTTGGTCCATCTCAACTCCCTGGCTGGAGTTCGAGAGATGGTGCAACACAGTAGATAGAGACGTTATCAGATATTGCTCAGAATAGAAGCCAGTGGTGATCCTGCTGTAACCTTCTTTTATTTTCCTCATAAAAAGTGGTTGTAACTTCCTTAACTGAAAGAATTTTTTCTCGTTGTACCTTTCCGTTTCCCCCATCTTTACTATTATTATTATTATTATTATGGCATTACCATATACTAATCTGTGGTTGTTATTGTTTTTTTCTTTTTTATACGCACCTTAAATTCTTCTTCTCTTCCCATTCTCATTGTTTTGTGTGGCGCATATATATCTGGTGCCCCCTTGTACCAATATTTATGTGTTCAAATAAATAAATAATAAATAATTAATCTGCAACACATTATATTAACATTATCAATAATACGAAATAATTATTTAACTAATATGATAAGAATATAATTTTCTATATAAACGAAGTAATCCCTACATATATACATTTTAGCTTAAGGAAGTTTAAACCACAGTTAATTTTATTTACTCATTCTGTGTAAATAATTAGAATAAATAAATATGAAAAAAATAAAACTGCTATTTAACTACTGTGTACACACAGTAAGCATATTTTAGGAAATAGTACAAGTGTACCACCAATATAAGAAATTTAGTTAGGCAAGCAATAGAGTAATGTTATATATAATAAACACAAATGGATTTATATTATTATAGATATGAATGTTTATCAATTGTCTTTCGTTTTGCTAATATAAAGCTAAAATTCGACGGAGACAAGCCTAGAGATGTGTGGCATAATAAACAAGCTAGAGCAGTGAAAAGGGTTTTCAATACAGTTAACATCTATTTGTCATTTTCTGGTTGACCTATGAAGGTTCCACAAATGAAGTTATTTGGTTTTGCCACATGTGTATGCATTTACGAATTCAGCTGCTTCTGGGGACAAAACTATGTTGTGTTTACGACCAGACAATCTTCAATTGTGGTTTAGAAAGGGTCTGAAAAAAACAATTCACAAATCTGTCCCATTTAACTTGGTCTATAGTGGTCAAGATGAAGACAAAAACAAAGCATTCATAGAGATTTATCGTACACTTTCAAGTTTCAATAGTGTGGTTCGATATCACCTGTCAAATATAGCAGAAATCACAGGGATTAGGAATAAGAATCATAAGTTCTGTATGAAAGAGGAATTGGTAATAGTCCTGTCTCATGTTTAGCTGAGTAAAACATAATAAAGAACCTTAAACATTTTCACATAGCTTATTTTTTCTTCATCTCTGCAGTATCGCTTTTCTAATAATTTTGTTCGCACAGTTTACAACACGAACTAATTTTAGTTAGACCACTATTAAAAAGTTAAAAAGCGATGGATGATAGGAGATCGAATGCCCTAGGTTCGACCTCTGTTTGGGTCAGGGATGAGCACTACTACAGAATCCTATACTAGAACGAAACATCAGTCCAATGATACCTGTTTTTCAATAGCGATCGATCCATGATGCACACAGTAAAAGCCTAACAACCTCATAAAATGTCTTGATTGACCCAATATTTATAAGTATCCATGTAAATATTACTGTAATATATATATAATTCAGGTTCTTACCAGAAAAAATCGACACTGCAGGATAAGTGAAGTCTTTTATTTTTTTCCATATAGAATTGAAACAGTTAGTGAAATTTCTAGCTCTTTGAGTAAACTGTGCAACACGAGTTTCATCAGCCCATAAAGCACCCATAAAAGAGCCAATACTTGTACCACCAACTAAATCAATTGGAATCCCAGCTTCCTGTTTAATTAAAGCGAAATTTATCGAAAACATATTATAATAACAAAACGTGACGCTTACAAACTTTAAACATGTTTAATGATAATTCAAAACAATAATTATACCGCTCATATCATAAGTAATACTATAATTTTAGTACAGGTTTTCTACGGTCATATGGTTATCAATTTTTAAGTGAAGTTTGCCTTATACAGAAACGAGATCATCATATATCATTGAAAAATGTTATTTCACTCAAGAATTTCAATTTAGTTTTCTTCTGAAGTTTCTGACTTCGATTAGCAAATTGTATAAGATTAAAAATAACCATACCTATGTGTATTACACAAACCCCAATACGGTAACAAATAATTTAGTTTTTACGAGTATTTAAATATCCCTCTAAAAAATAAAATATCTTCAAAAATAAATACCATATCTAAATAGAAAAAAGTCACACAGTTACCTGTACAATCTTACAAGTAAAAAGTTTAATGATTCCCCGTACAATTTAGATATTAATAGGTAATTAAGAAAAATGGATTGATAATTTACTACAATAAACAATATCATTAAAACTATACCACTAAATATGATTTATTTAGTTGATAATATTTATAGCTTATCTATGATGTATTTTAACTCAGTAGATGTCAATGAAAAGGATGATACTGATGAATTTTTATCATATAATGTAAAAAACAGAAATATCCTACCATTATTATAAATGTCATATTTAAGATCAAAAAAAACAAATTGTATGATAATGAATAGTTTTAGAAAAATCTTAATGCAACATCAGTCAAATATCAAATTGATACAAAAGTAAAAATACAATATTTAATAAGCTACCTATTTTATATTGAATGCAAATATATACATATATAGATATACATATATCAACATCGTGGAATCCAAATGCTCTGGTATGGCCGAGAGCGGGATGGGTTCGCCCTCCCTCTCGAAATACTCTCACACGGCCACGCGTATACAGTCTCTGCCAGGGAAGTCCTACTCACTACCTTCTCGTGGCGGGGGTGTTATTTACGAAAATGAGAGGACGAAAAGCAAATGTCCGGCGCTTTAACCGGATCCCAAACCAAATCAATGTTGCGCATGGGCTCCAGTATCCTGAGGTTACAAATGGCGTATGAACCAATTTTCGGTCACCGGCCACCATGGGAATGCATCCCCTTACGATGCTCCACTGCCTTGTGGGTTAGACCTTTAGGTCAAAGGCTCGGGGAGTGGCCCCCTAAGAAAACCACCTGCTTCAGTTCGGGCACCCGGGCAGTATCACAGCCCACACACAAATTGATGAACTCTCTATGCCTATGGAAATTACTTTTCTCGCTTCGAAAAACAAGCAATTGATTCAAAATATTATCATTACAATTATTGTCATTATTAATACTATTATTATTATTATTACTACTGTTGTTGTTGTTGTTATTATTATTATTATTATTATTATTATTATTATTATTATTATTATTATTATTATTTAATACATCAATATTCACCCTCTTTTGTTCCTACTCTGTCTATACTTATTTTTTTCGACTTATACAGCAGCTCGTCTATGGTGGAAACTCGGTTCTATCTAAACGTTCTCGAGTCACTGTCCGGTTGAAAATTGTATGTTACCACCGAATACGAATACTAAACCAGTTTTTCTGAAACCACGTGCATCATTCAAACTGGCTGCCTTCAACGTTCGCACATTTATGCAGGACGGACAACAGATAGGGCTGGCTATGTCTTTGGAAAGTGTTAATATTGATGTTTGTTGTCTATCCGAGACCCGTATTCAAGACTCTGGCGAAGTAAAACAAATTCGCTCTACATCTGTCGCTTCAAAAAACTTGTTTCACGTGCGCTTATCTGGGGAACCTGTGGCATCGTCGTCTCGTCTTGCTGGTGTTGGTGTCGCACTAAGCGCTAGAGCTGAGGCAGCTCTAATCGATTGGATCCCCATTAACAGTCAGTTATGTGCTGTTAGATTAGAAAGTTCCATCAAAGTGAGGAGAAATCAGCGTGAGAAGCAATGTCTTTTCGTTATCTCCGCCTATGTCCTCACAGATTGCAGCCCGGATGCAATCAAGGATGAGTTTTACAACCAGTTATCTGTTCTTCTCCATAAAGTGCGTTCGACAGATATTGTGGTACTAGCCGGAGACTTGAATGCTCAGGTCGGGCGTCTAGGCACAGAAGAGAGTCGATTAGGTGGCCGATGGGGACTCGTTGGTCGCAGGACAAATAATGGGGACCGTCTACTGCAACTGTGCACAGACCACAACCTGTTTCTGGCTAGCACTAACTTCCCGCACAGTCATCGCCGATGTGCCACCTGACGTCCTCCCTCTGCATCTCAAGCCTGGACTCAGATTGATCACATCACGATCAGCTACCTCTGGCGTGAGTTGTGTACAAGGAATTCCAACTCTTAAAGCGCCACAAATCACCGGGCCAAAATGAATTGCCTCCGGCTCTTTTTAAAGATGGTGGTGAATTTCCGGTTAAAGAACTGACAATGTTGTTTACAAAGGTCTGGGAGCTAGAAGGCGTTCCAGCATCATGGAATGAGTCGATAGTTGTCCCTATCTTTAAAAATAGTTCACGTCGTTTCTGTAACAAATATCGAGGGATAAGCCTACTTCCAATTGCGTCCAAGCTATTGGCTTCCGTCATACTTCGTAGGTTGTTCAAAACCCGAGAAACATTGACTCGCGAGGAGCAGGCTGGCCTTCGTTCTGGTCGAGGATGTATTGATCATATCTTCACCCTCCGCCAAATGTTAGAATACCGTCATGCTTATCAATGGCCAACAATCGTAGTGTTTCTTGACATTAGGGCTGCCTTCGATTCGTTGGACAGGACTGTTCTCTGGGATCGTTTGTTGAAGAAGGGTGTGCCTGAGAAGTTTATTAACATCCTAAAAGCGATATATACTAACACATCAGGCAGAGTGATAACACACAACCCCCTTTCTCCATTGTTCCATTCAAGTAATAGGGTTAGACAGGGTTGCCCAATATCACCATTCCGCTTCGACTTTGCCATCGACGACATTCTGGAAGCAGCTCTGATTGATGTAGGTAATAGAGGTGTGAATCTGTTGCCTGAAGAAAGACTTTTCAACCTTGAGTATGCGGACGATATTGTCTTACCATGCGATGGTACCCAGGCAATACAATCTGCACTTCATCGGTTGGCAATCAGTGTCCGTAGGTACGGTAGCTGCTTTGCACCTTCGAAGTGCAAACTACTTTTACAAGACTGATAGGATCCTGATCCTGCACTCACCCTGAGTGGTGAGCAGATAGAAGTAGTCGAGAAGTTCGTGTATCTAGGTAGCTATACAAGTGCTGGTATTGACGTGAGTGATGAGATCAATGCACGTATAGTGAAAGTCAGAGAGGACTATGCCAATCTCGGCCATCTTTGGCGCCTTCGTGATTTTAGTCTGGCTGCAGAAGGTCGGATCTACAACGCGTCGGTGAGAGAAGTCTTGCTCTATGCTTGGGAAACCTGGCCTCTCCAAGTTGACGATGTTAGATGACTCTCTGTGTTCGATCAACGTTGTCTCCGAAGGATTGCTGACATCCAGTGGCAACACCATGTTAGTAATGCAGAGGCTCGGCGTCGTGTGTTCGGGCACAGCGACGATAATGCAATTGGTGTCACCATCTTGAAACCTCGACTTAGACATTTTATGGCTTAGACATGTTCTACGAATGTCGTCCCAGAGAATTCCACGTCGTGCATTATTTGCCGACGCTGGGACTGGTTGGGAAGAGCGGAGAGGTGGTCAGTGTATGACATGGTGTCGTGGTATGAAAGAAAGCTGCAAAGGGCTGGCTTCTGTTGGTCCATCTCAACTCCCTGGCTGGAGTTCGAGAGATGGTGCAACACAGTAGATAGAGACGTTATCAGATATTGCTCAGAATAGAAGCCAGTGGTGATCCTGCTGTAACCTTCTTTTATTTTCCTCATAAAAAGTGGTTGTAACTTCCTTAACTGAAAGAATTTTTTCTCGTTGTACCTTTCCGTTCCCCCATTATGACTATGATTATTACTACACTCCTTTACACCAATCTTTTCATTATTGACTTTTTTTACGTTCCACATTGTTTTCTTCTTAAATTCTCATTGTTTTGTGTGGCGCATAAATATTTGGCGCACTCCTGTACCAAAATATATGTGTTCAAATAATAATAAGGAACACACGATTGTTATTTAATAAGTGAAGTTGTAAATATAGACTAATGGGTTTCGAATCACTGACGTGATAGTACCATACCCGCCGTGAGATTTTGGATGATTTGATTCCGCGTGAAATCGTGGATGTCTACTACTCAAAAGTTTCAAACTAAGACGAAATAAACTGTCTGACATTCTTGGTTTTTCAATAATTTCAAGATGATGAAAACAGACTTCGAAATTTTTTATGGTTACATTTGTAAGAACAGACTAAAAAGACATGAACCAATTACATGATACCGAATTAATCGGTTTTAAAACATAAATCTAATATATGCACATTTGTATTGGTACAAATAATTTGTAATACTAATCAAATCGTAATCCAGAGTAATTGCAGAGCTCTACAAGAAATCGTTAAATTAAAATCCATGAATGATTGATGCAAAGGGCGAGAATAAGTTTGTTTTAATCGTCTACCAATTCATTAAAATATCAATATATCCCCTATCTATTTTTATTGTTATTTACATTAATCAGTTACTAACAAGAGAAATATTAGATAGCTACTTACACACCATAAGCTTTAGAAGTGTTTGAAAAACATAACATTGGTTTCTCAACAGAATATAAACTTGTACCTTTTTTAAAGACTTTATTGTTTTGATTTTTGATATATTATTAAAAGACGGAAGATTGTAAACTTACAATGTACATGGAAATACGAAACTATTTCTTAGCCTGTGATACAATGAGAAGTAACACATTTTAATAGGTATTTCTGAAAAAGCTTAAACTAAGCGAAAACTTTAAAATTATTTTTACTGACCAAATAATTTATTTTTGTACTTATTTACTGAGACATTACATCTCCAGTTACTCGTAGCAACCGTAGTAGTATTTCTCAAAAAAAGAATTTCAACATAAAAAGTAGTTACTAGATTTTACAAATACAATCTAGTTATTAACATTACTACTGAAATGTAAGGCATACGTATATGTTATCAAAATTTATAAAAAAGCAATTGCTCACTTGAAAAGCACGTATCAGTCCAACATGTGAACAGCCTCTTGCTCCTCCACCGCCTAGAACAAGACCAACAGCTTCACCTACTATGTAACGAGCAAGACGAGAGAAATCAGATAGTGGATTAGGTTTTTCACGAGCAAATACTTGAGTATAAAAATTGATGAGATTCAACTTTGAACGAGGTATAAATACACGAGGTTCACAACGTATATGATAATGTTGACTAATCCATGGTCGAGCATTTAACCATACTGCAGTTTTACCGGATTCTGTATAATCTGTATCTAAAGGATACATAAGAATAAGCACTTTGGCAACCTATGTAAAGGAAAAACAACAAATAGGATGTTTTTTATTCCCATGAAAAACGTACAAGTAACCAGCATCACACTACATAAAAAGCGGACTCACCTTCGTTGGGTCATTTTTTAATGCCATCTCTATTGGTGAGGGACGCGCTGGATCAGAAGAATGCAAAGCTAAAACCAAAATGCAATCAGCTTGACGAATACATATACGATTCCAGGCTGAAACTCGCTGACAGTCACAAACAAAGAAAACAATACGATGTGAGTCTTCTTGATGACTTAACCAAGTACTAAGTCTATACTGGCTAACGCTATCGAATGCGCATGAACCTAAACGTTTCAGTACGATATCTATATACAAAACAACAAAAAGCAAAGATATTAGTTTAAACAAAGTTGTTAGAAGAATTAAGCAAAATAACACTCGTTTGTCGGGTTTATGTATCATTTTTATTGGGTACCTATGTCGCCAAAGAATATTATTAGGAAAGGGCGATACACTAATTGATCACTAAATAGTAACCAATGCACTATTATATACTGTTAACAGTTTATAGAGCGGCTACTGATCAAGTAGAAATGTGAACATTGACCAATGTATCTCATATTGAATTGTACTTTATTTAGCGTTAGACAATTAGGGGAAATCAGTTCGAAGAGATAAACCTTAGTTTCAGACTAGTTGGTATTTGCCAGCAAGAAGTATCTGTAATTTTGTACAAACTGATGTTTTTCATGATACATGACTCCCCACACCTAGGAGACTAACTAGTGGCCTACTACAGCAATTCAATCACAGACAGATTATATCAGTAGTTTCATCAATGATTTTGGCACTCAGTAAGATAGGTTCAAATCTAACAGGGAACAACATTCCTTTTAACATTTCAGATACACCATATCGATGAGTTACAATTAGTATTCAATCTAAATCCTTAAAATTTTCTTGAATTCCTTCAACTGCCTAACATCAATTAAGATGCTACGAATGACTATACTCATAATAATGACGACAATATGGATGATAACCAATGTTAAAGTGTTTTATTCTAGTTTATCATGGGTATAATTTTTTTAACTAGGAACTTAAAAATTAAACAAATAAATACACGCAATCGTAATTACAAAAAAAAAGACGAATCAGTATAGTTAGAGTCTTAATGTAGCCACTTAATCTTTTACAGATTATTCATAGCAATTGTGAGAAAGAGAAAGAGAGAACGAAATATAATCAAAAAAAAAACTAGGGACAAATCCGTCTTATTTCATTGGTTATAAAATTTAATAAAAAAAATCGATATGTAAAATATGAAAATAATCAGTAGAATATTAAGTAATCTAATTGGATTTATTTTTAGTGAAGGACAAAGGATTAAAATACCAAAGAGATATCCAATTTAAATTAAGCTAGTGTAATCTTATTTTAATTACCCAAGAAAAATACATATTCTTAAATAGGTGACAACTGCGAAAACAAACATCGAAAGTTTACAGAGGATACATTTAATTTTTTGAATAGAATTTTAACATTTTCCAAGAACAAATTAATAATTCTAGAAATTTGATTAGTGTGATAATGATATTTGATGACAACCAGAAATTAAGTGAATTACCACCAATGTCCCTCCTTAAGAATTTACAATCTCGTTCAAAAGTACTAAAGTAGGCTATACTATAACAATAACAATACACAATTATAAACAAACAAGATTCGAGCTTCAGACTTATTGGTTGAATTCTTCAACTATTAGGCAACATATTTGTACAAGTACTAAATTAGAGTTAACCTAGAATATGTTCAGTGGAAGAAAACTGGGTTTATATTTAGTAAAATCCGTTAAAGACGGACAACTATATATTATATGATTATAAAAATTGGGCTACAATCGGTGGAGAGGAAAAATGAATTAAATGCACTACGTGTAATCGTTCAAGCTTCTTAATTCCAAAAGCATTGTTCTCGTTACAAAATCCTTACTTTCAATTTTGTATATACTATTAAAAAAACCACAATCAATGTTTATCAATAGAATATGACCTTTGGAAAAACAAACAATGGTATTCTACGTATTATCGTTGCTCGAATGATGTGAAAAATGACAAAAACAATACGCAAGTAGGACGAGTTAATGTAAATATCACTGAATATATATATATATATATATATATATATATATATATATATACGTCCCACATGAATATTGATAACTTGTGATATGATCACTAGCTGATAAGAAAGTGTTAAACTATGCACACAGTTATGTTGTAAACATTTGTACATTACTATAAATAAATATATATTACATACATATATCGAATAACACACAACATAATTTAATAGAAAGTACAATGAAAAATCATACCATAACACGAAAAAGTTTCAGATTATTGAATACATTTATTAAAAATAATTAATTATAATCTTATGTATAAATGATGGATATTGATGTTAGCATATAAAGTTCTAATAAATACATTAAAATAACTTTTTAATCATTGAAAGGAATGTTAAATATGATGTCAATAAATACCTAAATATTTAGTTTATGTGACGATGAATGGATATGAAAAATTGTAATTACTTATTGCGTGCTGAAACGATGTAATTTAATAGAAGTAATTGTTTCTGTAACTTACGCATAGAATTCGAAACTTTAGAATAAACCTATTAAGTAATCATACACAGCTACTGGGTTGGGTATGATAAGTAAATTGAATAAGGCCCGAAAAATAGTATTCGGATTTATACATCAAAATACACTCAAGTTCTAAATTTTCAAAGAGTAAGTAATTCCTTAGGGATATTTCATTTTTAATTTGGCCATTATCATAAATTGAAATACGTTACCGAACCAGTGAAAATCATAGAGCACAGAAAAGTTCTTTTTTCCCAATTTGGAACTCCGCAGCAATCCTCACTCTCAAACTCAGAAAAAAAAGCAAGGACTACAGGTCTTGCTGGGAGCACAAAGCTTTTAAACCATTCAGTCAGAAACCAATATTCAGTCAACTTGAAACGTAGCATCAGTATCATTTAACCCAATCAGTAATTCCTGTCCTAATCTTGATATACGTGAACTCCATGGTTCAAGGCTCTTTACCGGAACATCGATAATTCTCAAAGCTAGTCACCAGTTAACATTTTAATATTAATGTAAGGGGTATGTGGATATTACTCAGTTTGAAGTTAGTTTCCAATATTGAGCGAGTTCGATTTATAAAAATGTGATAGCTGTGTACCTCGGACGAGATTAAAGCTAGAAAATGAAACGATTAAGTGATACAACTGTTTTCCGAAGCTAGTTTCGGTCCGTGATGGAAAGTAACCGACTATTTGAAGCTTTAGGTCAAATGTCTTATAGCACACATGTACCGATCAACATTAAGTAAATTTACCATAAAATAATGTAAAATGAGTACTTTACACTTCTCGAAAAGAACTATTTTTATGTATACGAATCAATAAGACGTACAGAAACCTGATTCCAAAACTCATTCTATATTCAAAAATCTTTGGATAGTACTTCATGTGAACTGACCACACGCCCAGTAACTACTAATCATTTCTATTTTATCATATAATTTCATAATAAGGCGTTCAATCTTGTTGGATGAAAGAACAGAAAAAGGAATATACTCAATAACCCATGAAGTTAGATAGTTTCGAAGAATACAAAAAACCAGAGGATTTATTCTCGTTAGAGCTTATTACTCAATCACATTGTATCATGTAGGATTATAAATCGACCAGTGTTTTATTTATCATCTCAACAAGTAAACGGAATCTATAAAAATGAATATGCCAAACAAGATATTCGTACTAAGCAGGAAAGAAATTAACAAAATACGTGAAATAGTATTCAAATTCAATAAATAATGATAACACAAAATCTTATTGAGATCAATTTATCAACAACAAAAATAAACCTATAAATTTGTAAACACATGAAAACCAACAAATATAGAAGAAATCCATTCAAGTTTACCAATATAAATTAAATTACGATGAAGTAGAAAAATCATTAAGTACCTGAAGTAAGACGAACAGATGATCCCATCGAACTCATAGAATGTTGTAATTCCAAAGTGAATGCCTCAGCATTAATGTCAGTTGTAGTAGGTAATACAGCGATTGTACGTAGATTAGTCATAACACCACTATTCAATGGACTATATAAAACATCCAATTTGGAATTCTCACCAGTTGTATAACCTAATCCACCAGTAAGTAAAGAATTTGTACTAGTCATATGTAGAAGTGGCATACCCAATTGACTAGCCGTACTAGAACTAGTTGTTAAATTACCCAATAATTTATCCGATAATAATTGAATAATACGAGTTAAAACTTGTGGAAATTTATTCTTAAGATGATGAAGTAAATGTGAAGGAATTTGAGCCAATTCTGAATCTCTATTTTATAAAATTAAAAAAAAAGAAAAGAAAATTCTTCATAAATGTATAAATAAAAACTAAACTTTATTTCTGAAATATTTTTACCACTACTAATCGATTTGATGTTCAGTAATGTATAAACTATTTTTTTTTAAATAAAAAAAAGAAGATAAGATTTTGATGAATTTTCTATCTTTAATTTGGATAATTCAATCATGGAACTTTCATTGTTCTTATGCAGAACACCATAATCACTAGCTAACAAACTTTTTTCACCATCTAAAAGAAAACATTAGAAATAATCTTTTCATATTGTATTTTCACAAAATAGCTTAAAACTCCTTGTTGACAATTGTAAAAAAATACAATCTAAATGTATATCATGGAAAAGTGAATTTACAAAATAAATATGCTTTATTTTTATTTTATTGATTGATTTAGCATCCCATTTGTTTGCTTACTCTTAACAAAGATAATTTCTATTTATCCTATGTAAGAAAAAAATAGACAATAGTGTACAGTGGCGCAATTTCGTGGATTGGTTGAAGTTAGACATTAACACCGTTGAATGCCGGCTCAGTGGTCTAGTTGGTTAAGCGCACGCGCGCGAGACCGATAGGTCCTGGGTTCGAATCTCGCGGGAAGCGGGATCGTGGATGCGCACTGCCGAAGAGTCCCATACTAGGACGAAAAGGTCGTCCAGGTTTTCCATGGTGGTCTAGCTTCAATTGACTCATGATTTCAACTATTGAAGTAATAATTAGTTTATTCTTTCAATGATAAAGTAAATAAATTTCATTAGTCAATATTCACAATAATTCGTGATAACAAAATGAAATAAGAATTTTATTAAATAAATATCATTTGTTATAACACGTGTATTATTATCAAATAATCATCTGAATATTATTCTTCCAAATTACAATAAAATTATTATTAACTAAATATTTCGGAAGGAAATAGTACTTTAACTGGTGTTCATCATTAAAGATCATTTAAAAAACAATTATTATAATTAATACAGAAGTTCTATTTCATATTTATTTTATATTGTTTATTTGAATCTTCTCATTGATATTTAGGACTGCAATTAATAAATCTCTCATTGGCATATGTGCATCCTGCGAACTTAAGACAATATCGAAGCAATTCGCAAAGGATATATATATGCTAATAGGAGACTGATCAATTGCAGTCCTAAACATCAATGAGAAGATTCAAATAAACAATATAAAATGAATTTAAACTTCATCAAGCTGCACAAGCTAATGGCTATCAGGACTCAGTAGCTAACTAGATAATGCGATGGTGTTTAAGGTGAATGGTACTGGTTTCGAGTCCCGAAGTGAACATCAACACTGGGATACAAATACATCCAGCTAACGAGTCCAAGATAGGACGAAATGAGCATCCTGGACTCCACTGCTAGCCACCATCCATCTTTGCCTATAGTTCCTACTGCATGTTATATTAATTAGTTAATCATTGATAATCCATGAGCAATCTTGAGTGAATAAGTTGAAAGAACTAACATCAGCATAGAAACAGATAGAGAAAACCAATAAAACGAAAAGCACAGAAAGAGAAATGACACTACGCAAAATATTAATCCAAATATGAGAAATACGTACTAAAGAAAACAAATGAGATAGATGAATGGAAAGTATGGAATGACAGTAAACTCAAAATTAGGAGAAAGATACTGAGGGCAACTGAAATAATGCTACCGATTTAAGACCATCTAATCCAATACTACAAAATATAGTTTACGGCAATTGTGAGGGCTTTAACCATTAGGTCTACACCTACAGATATGGTGGTTTAGAGTAACAATCAATGATATAATTTTGTCCGTTGAAGATGCTAACAAACTGTAGTCTTCTATACCCCTTGAGAAACGTTGCAAGAGTGTAGGAGACTTGTTATATCTAGAGCTTAGATTTTTACTATGCCGCGTATAACTTGAGCACTCGACGCTAGAACACTCCCAAGTCGCAAATGAGAAAACAGAAGACAAGTGAAAGGAATGGTATTCCAAACAGTATCAATTGTGGTACAAAGCTGTCAGGTATCTATGGTTTTTAGTAAAAACGAAATCATCATTATAGTCCACCAATTCGCTTATTAGCATTTGTCCAATAGGGAAGCTCCACGTAGGGACTCTGGAATATTCTCCCACAAGATGGTTGGATGGAATATTATCGGCTTTTTCTGAGCTTCTTAGGGCTTCCTCGAGTTCACCCGTGGACTGTCTTCACAGATATATTTCAAATGAATCATTACAACGCAGATATTCTTAGTTAAACGGATCCAGAAACAGAATATTATTTTTTAACACGATTTAACAAGAATAAGATCTGTATTGGATAAGCAATTGACTAACATTCGTAAGTATTTATTTTAACAAGAAACACCGACCATGAATTATGGTTATAAATGTTTCCATTAGTCAAGGAAATGTAGTTCATTATCACTAGGAAGAAAAGGGATTAAGAAGTTGATTAGTTTAAGTGAATAGATCAAGGCAATTCCCATACCTAATCGCCATAACTGTAGATATTCGTGTTTGCTGACTAATGACTTCAAGAAAACCAACGAGATCACCACGCCCCAACTCACTGACTATACGATGACCTCCATCAGGCATATTGTCGACTTGTCTTAATCGACCACTTAAAACAACATATACATGATTTGCGATTTCTCCTTTCCTAAAAAAGCAAGAAAATAACATTATATGTAATGGAATACATTCTGAATAAAATAATCATGATAATAGGGAGTGAAACAATTCACTAAGAGTAAATTATACGTCAAAATTTTCTACCTCCATTAGTGAACATTTTTTTCCTACAAAGCTATGAAATTGAAGGTATTTCTACAATTGTAAGAAGACACTTGATGCATAACAGATCACAAACGAAGTCACCATTTACCGGAAATAAACAGGAAAATGTACAAGATATCCATGTTTCAGAAACTAAAACATTCTCTTTTTCGGAACAATTTGGGGTAAATTTTATCAGTACACATAGATTGAAAACACTGAATAAAAATTGGATTTGGAATTCCATTGAGGAGATACTAATAAATAAATGACTATGACATTTATATGTCGAATATCTCCGACCATGAACTCACATCATAACACATAGAAGTGGTGAAACTTCATCAGTTGAGGTGGCTGGGACACGTGTTACGTATGCCCAACCACCGACTTCCTCGATGTGCGATGTTCAGTGGTGTAGGAATAGGTTGGAAGAAAGCTAGGGGCGACAAGACCAAAACATGTCAAAAGTCCATGAAGTCACTGACAAGTAGACTGAGTCATGTTGGTAGGTGTAGACTACCTGGTTGGGGACCGCGAGATGATAGCAACCGATGGTTAAAGACCCTGAATGACATGGCTCAAAATCGTTTGCAATGGCGCAGGTGCATACACTCTTTGTGTTCTCCCAAATTTTGATCTCCTGATGCCTCCTTGTCTCCTTTTTCTGTTCCCAAATTTATTTCACCGTATTATACTCTTTAAATAACATCTCCAAGCACTAATCTTCGCGATTACTGCTTATACTATTATTACCTCTACCACGGGATTTGAATCGACCACTGCATCTCTGTGCTAATGTGGTGTGGCAACTCGAACTGATGTACGTACGTACGAAGTTCTACGTTGTTACTGACTGACTGACTGATAGAAGTTGTCAAAAACAAAACGAGCTTTTCGAATCCGTGCTGAGATTTCGTCAGACACCAACACATCAGGGCTGATCAGACTTCCAAGATAATGAAGGTGTCGACGAGTTCGATTACTACACTCCCTACTCTTAGTTCAGGTAACTACGCGGGCCAGTCCTGAACCAACAACTTGCATTTAGAGGTGGAGAAAAGAGTCTCAAATATACTGGTATTGTTGTTCAGTGCTACCAAAACACTGCATTTCATCAGCGTAATCTGGGTATTCTAAGTCGATATGTGGACTTCCTGGTAGGAGATCGATTCCTGAAAAATTAGTGTACGAGAACGTTGTTTCCATCAGTATGTTTACGATGAAGTTGAACAAAAATGGAGATAGTGGACAGCCTTGTCGGACACCAATATTTTATTTTACTTATTTAAACACATAAATATTGGTACAAGGGGGCACCAGATATATATGCGCCACACAAAACAATGAGAATGGGAAGAGAAGAAGAATGTAAGGTGCGTATAAAAAAGAAAAAAACAATAACAACCACAGATTAGTATATGGTAATGCCATAATAATAATAATAATAATAGTAAAGATGGGGGAAACGGAAAGGTACAACGAGAAAAAATTCTTTCAGTTAAGGAAGTTACAACCACTTTTTATGAGGAAAATAAAAGAAGGTTACAGCAGGATCACCACTGGCTTCTATTCTGAGCAATATCTGATAACGTCTCTATCTACTGTGTTGCACCATCTCTCGAACTCCAGCCAGGGAGTTGAGATGGACCAACAGAAGCCAGCCCTTTGCAGCTTTCTTTCATACCACGACACCATGTCATGCACTGACCACCTCTCCGCTCTATCCAACCATTCCCAGCGTCGGCAAATAATGCACGACGTGGAATTCTCTGGGACGACATTCGTAGAACATGTCTAAGCCACCAAAGTCAGTGTTTCAAGATGGTGACACCAATTGCATTATCGTCGCTGTGCCCGAACACACGACGCCGAGCCTCTGCATTACTAACATGGTGTTGCCACTGGATGTCAGCAATCCTTCGGAGACAACGTTGATCGAACACAGAGAGTCATCTAACACCGTCAACTCGGAGAGACCAGGTTTCCCAAGCATAGAGCAAAACTTTTCTCACCGACGCGTTGTAGATCCGACCTTTTGCAGCCAGACTAAAATCACGAAGGCGCCAAAGATGACCGAGATTGGCATAGTCCTCTCTGACTTTCACTATACGTGCATTGATCTCATCACTCACGTCACCACCAGCACTTGTGTAGCTACCCAGATACACGAACTTCTAGACTACTTCTATCTGCTCACCACTCAGGGTGAGTGAAGGATCAGGATCCTGTCAGTCTTGTAAAAGTAGTTTGCACTTCGAAGGTGCAAAGCAGCTACCGTACCTACGGACACTGATTGCCAACCGATGAAGTGCAGATTGTATTGCCTGGGTACCACCGCATACTCAAGGCCGAGAAGTCTTGCTCCAGGCAATAGATTCACACCGCCATTATCTAAATCCATTCATCAAATACTGTTATTCAAAGCGAGTGGAACGTCCAGAGACTCAACGACCACAGCAAAATAACACACAACTGTTTGAGGCATGAGTACATCTACAAATACAGGGACACTATTTGAGAAAAGACACATAAAAGCAGAATAATAATGACTTTGTATACATCATTTTATTTGACTGATGACATTATAACTATATATTATTTTTATTTATATATTACTTGCTTGTTTGTATTTTCTTCCAATACTTAAGATTTTCGATTAACCGAATGAAAAAAGAATCACAAACATAATTCAATAGAATAAATTATGCAACGGTTCGGATGCATTTGCCGGACAAAATAATAACTAAATAAATAAGACGCTTGAGACCTCTGAGTAAATCAGTTTACGAAACCGGTGTGAAAATTGTATGAACTTTCGCTATCAAGCATACAATCAGCTGTACAATAATAACAAAAGAACAACAATAAATAGAGATACTAAACGCGAAAACATATTTTGGTTAGAAAATGATTGGCTGTTACTTACTTATATAAAGCCTTTCCTGATTTGACAGACAACCATTCTATGGCAAAATCAAGTTGATGAAATAACGGTGATAAATGAGAAGAAATAATATGAGTAACACTGAACAAAGCCTTAGGATATTGACGAACTACAGAGTAAAATGTCTCACGGGATAAAACAGCTACAATAGTTTTTGTCGTAGCTTGTACGCCATAAATATTTGGTTCACCGGTTATCAGTCCCAAAAGTCCAACTGCTTTTCCCGGTCCACATTTAAACATTGTAATGACCTGAGCAATAATCCAAGCAATAACTGAATTGATAATTTTTAAACACGTGAAGATTAACGATATTTTAAAAACATGGTACATAGTTGGTTGAAACAAATTACAATGAATATATCTCTTAAAGAACTAAGGGAATAACAAATATATCTAACGTCACAAAATTGGCCAGATTTAAGGCAGAGTACATCATTTGGAAGTTGTAATATGTGAATTAAGAATTGCTGTTTGTTATATAAAATCAATTCAAATCGTTAATGTTGGGGCTGTTTAGTATAAAGTGTTAACTTGAATCAGTTTATAAGCGAAATGCAATTGTGCGATAAATGATCTGAATTGATTTTATATAGCAAACAACAATTCTCAATTCACATATTACAATTTCCAAATGATGTACTCTGTCTTAAATCTGGCCAATTTTATGGATTATTAATTTGGATTTGTAATTGTAGAACCTGATGAGAAATTATTGAAAAGAATATTCTTCGTTCATACAATTGTTTTAATATAATGGGAATGTTCCAGCGATTAATACCTAACGTCATAAATTGCATTGCTTCTAGTTGGATTTGAACCAGAAAGTTTTCGCACTAGACGTAAAACTTCGGTTTATATCCTAACATGTCTGGATTCTCAGTGGGCAATCTTTGATATTACTCCAAATACACCCCCACTCTGCAATAATACACATCGTATTATAATGGTAGCTGTCAGTGATAGCATTAGTTATTTAAATCGTTTGTTTTGAATGCATAGTAGATGAAAAGTTAATTAAAACATAACTAAATTGTTCTTTACTATATATGGTGAATACATTAGTTGTACAGCATTAAAGTGGTTCAGCCTAGTCTGCCAAAATAAACATCTGTACTTGAATTTCTCGAACCATATGAATGTGGTGACATGAAATTTATCAAGCTATTTGTGATTCAATTATATGAAAAGACTTCAAATTTAGGAACTGAACACGTCTCACTGAGATATTGGGAGCCTTACGTAGGTTGATCAGATATTACATTGCTATTGCTGGCATTTCGTAAGGCGAACATCAATTGATTATCTCAATTTAGTGCTAAAAGTTACGAATCTGTCTAGTTAAAAGAAGGGTTTAACAAAGCTGCTTTTTCTGTAATTGGCTTTAAGTTATGCTGCTTGTTTGATGGATAGTATGATATTACTTGACTAAATAAACAAAAGTGAAGTGATGTTTGAACTACGGTTCCAAGTATTTGAATACAGTTCATTCAAAACTATATAACTGAAAATAAAAATGATTAAAATTGCTTTTCGTCTTTTATAAACTAACTAAGATGATTTTCATACTCACGCATTTATTACAAATTAATTCACAGGAAACACAGACAGCCACTTTCAAGTAACTAGAATCAGTTCAACTTCGTATAAACCGTTCATAAAATGGTAAGTAAAAGAGCGGATGAAAATAATAAAATCATAATACCTGGTGGAACATTAAGGCTCCTAAAGTTTGGAATTATAATTCTTATTTAGGAAGGTACTTGCAAGGTTTACATTTCATGAGAACTTATCAATAATTTAGTTATGAAAATAAATCTATCAAACACAGATTTAATCGACAAATTTTGTATGCTGGTCAGAGAAATTGACCATTCGCCCCAATATAAACACATATAGAACAACTTGAACGTCTAACCATTATACTTGGGAAGCCGGGTAGGGTTACTAACTTAAAAATGGAAAAGTATGACTGCAAGGTAGGTTTAGAAACGTGTACTTGAATAAGAAGTTGTATTAACTGAAAGGAAGAAAAATCATGTAAAAAGGAATGATAACTCAATAAAAGAATATCTTAACTTGGTCTTCATATAAATCACAAAACCACAGGAATGCTGATACATTGTATGGAGTGAAAGATGAATACCATACTCTGATTAGTTTAATCGAATATTTTTAAAGACATCTATACATATCTATGGCGAGTAAAAAACATTTCCAGTTCCGTTATTTCTTGGCGATTTAAATATTATTTTATCACCAATCAAGGCAGTGGTAATACGCTCGGATTTTTGGCACAGAAATCTTTTTCCTAAGCAACAATTATACATATTTAAAACTGAAAACTACATTTCGCTACTATACTTTAAATAATCATTTATTTCATACTTGATATATTTTGATGGTTTTATTATTCATTAATGGGTTTGCATTTATTGATGCCAGTTAAATAAAGAATTATGTCGAATTACATTTAGATTTACATGGGTAACTTTTATCAAGACTACTTCTGCTATGTATTTTTGTTTGATAGTGAGAAAATATTAAGTAGTTGGGAGCAGCTGATAGGAAACTCTGAACCTAGGTTTCGTACTATTTGGCACTCGCTACTAAGATTCACCAATACTCTTAAGGAACTGGTACCCACTAGCGGCTTATATTCCATGTCACCCAGCTTCATATTCTGAGACAGTGCCCACTGAGGTATTTGAGCCGCGAACAACTTTCTGTACAACAGTTACTTACAATTGGCTGATCATTGAGTATTAAAATTAAAACACGAATTTCAGCGAAGGGATCTCTTTTCAACGAATTTATTATCAAGCTGTACAATCGTATATATATGAAAATTTTGTTTTTGTAAAAGTACTAATTCCGTGAGGAAATGTGAACACAGTTAATATAAAGGTTATAATACTAGATTACGTAATATGAATAATAACAATTACAAAAAAAATTTGCATATATATACGATTGTACAGCTTGATAATAAATTCGTTGAAAAGAGATCATTGAGTAGTTAGTAGTTTCAGGTTTATCCGGTCGTTTCAATGTTGGTCAAATTCTATTGACCAATTTATTTACTTATTTATTTAAACACATAAACATTGGCACGAGGCACCAAATATATGCGCCACACTTCATCAATCGATTTGTGTAAGGGCTAGGATACTGCCCCGGTGCCCAAATCGAAGTGGGTGGTTTTCTTAGGAGGGCCACTCCCTAAGCCTTTGACCTAGAGGTCTAATCCACAGAGCAGTGAAACAACGTGAGGAGATTCAGTCCCACAGTAGCCGGTGACCAACAATTAGTTCATACGCCATTTGTTCCTTCAGGATACTGGAAACCATGTACACCATTGGTTTGGAATTAGGGTTTTTCAACTCCTCTAGATGGATCCCCCATATCCATCAACCCGGTTAAAGCGCCGGACATTCGCGTTTTGTCCTTTCACTTTCGTAAACAACACCCTAGTTGCGAGAAGGCAGTGAGTAGAACTTCCTTGGCAGTGATTGTATGTACGTGGCCATGTGAGAGCATTTCGAGAGAAAGAGCTGACTCTCCCCACCCTCGGCATCTGGGGGCTAGATGTAGCATAGCCAGTAATCTAGGCGATTAAACACTGCACACTTTCTTGAAAATGTCAGTTAGATTAAGGTAGTTGGCCAGAAACTCTTGCCACATGGTAACTTGATCGACAGAGTTCAATGAACACTAAAAGGACCAAACTAACGCGACATTGGTCAATGCTCAATGATTGATTAGTTGTTAGAGTGTGAAAAGTAACATATGAAACTTCGTTAGTCATACTCTCTATTCGATTAACTTGTCTACTTTCAATGAGTATTTAGTAAAGTTATTATACGACATATTCTTTACATAGTTTAATTTGAAAGTTGCCTTTCGACCTATTACTTATTGTTATACCGCTTACCCATTGAAGAATAGTTAACAATATGTGACTTACACATTGATTTGTAACAAAACCTAATTATATACCTAGTGTAAATTATAAACTGTAGTACGTTATGCGATCTGGTGTACTACTTGCACAGACATGTGAATTATGAATCTAAATGATAAAACACCTTTATATCTGAAAACCAGTAATACTAATCTGGTTTACCAAACCGCTGTTCCATTGAAATATAAGTATCTTATTCACATAACTAATAAGGATATACCAAAAAAAACGAATAACGTATAGGTTATAAGTGTAAGTGAAATTAACTATCGAAATAACATATGAGAAAAGAAATATTAAAAATTAAATAATCCTCAATTTATAAAAGCAAACGTTATTTCAAAAACAATCATTACATTATTATTAGGTCCATCATTAGTTGATTGGAAAGCTCTCAATTCTCCAAATATTACATAATACATTTCTAATTGCATTTCACATTCTCTTGAAAGTATAAAATCAGATGAAACAGTGGTAAGTGAAACATGTTCATGCAGGATACTGGTATCGGTTAAATTTAATAAATTAGCTAAATCTTTTTCAGCGAATTTTATCATTTCTTCTAATTCACTTTTGGTAAAATTAACATCTTTAACAAAATCACAAGGTTCTCCTTTGTTATTTTTATTACCAATGCCTTTTATCACATCATTTACATCGTCATAGTTTAATTGAAGTTTACGAGATGTATCTGCGAGAGAGCGTGCCCGACGTAAATTAGTGGAACGATGTTTACAATTTGGACTAGGTGGTTGGGAAGGTGAAAATATAGGTGATGCCGTTTTCCGATTGTAAAATATAGGACTTTCACCTAATTCAAGTGCACCAGATTGAGACATTGAATCTAAATTCAGATCATCATTATAGGTGAAAACCTGTTCTAATTCTGATTCAGAATTTTTGGACTTTTGATCATCTGTGACATTCGATATGGAAAATTTAACTTTTGAACATGTAAGATCTAAATCTGAAAAAAAAAACGTTTAAAACAATGTACTCAAAGAAGAGGATAGTTCCAAAGTGGGTTAAAAGTTTAAACATATTCACCAAACCCGTGAGACTGAAGACTCTCATAAAATTTACAAAATGACAACTGGATTTCAAAAGTTTCTCATTGAACATTATCATTTATTTATCATTAGTGTAATGTTGAGTTACAGAACATATAAAGAACTGATTGACCTCAACTGTCGGAATATTTTATAATTATGAGATGTAATGAGACGTGTGGGCTTTCAAATGGCACAACAGAAATGAAAAAAAATCTAGAAAAACAAAATTATCTACAAAGTAAATAATAATTAAATGTCATTATGTTCCGTATTGTATTTTTCATAAACTGAACTACAAGGTATGATTCAGAAAGTCACATTTCAGATAACAACAATAAATCTATTTGCAGCATAACCATAAACAACAATATTGTCCAGATATTTTTATAGCACAATTATACGACTTTAAAAAATACTAACCATCGGTGTTCGAAAACCCACTTTTATTTTATCGCAGATAATCGTGATAAAAGTTGAAAACATAATTAAATAGTATAATCTCCAGAGAATTTTGAGTTAGTGGGGATAACTTTGATTTATATCACCTAATATCAATGTACTTTTCTTATGTTTCCCATATTTTCATTCACTAACTTGTTCAGCAGTTCATTTTTGTTGTAGGTTCCGACTAGTTTAGATTCATTAAATACTAGCTTTTCAAAAGCAGTTACTACTACAAAGCAACATGTGTCATTTAACCTTATTGACTTGAAAATTCGTAGCCTGGTGTAAGTTGGGAAGCCTTCTTAAAACTTATCTCTGTTGATGTGTCCAGCATCGAAAAGACCAGTACTCAAGATTGCAGAAAAGTACTGTTTTAGTGCACCAATTTCAAAAGTACGTGTTACTTTTTTGGCCAAAGGACTCTGTAACATCGGTGCCTGATTTCAGCAACCTCTTTTTCCAACTAACTGTTAAGGGACAAGCAATCGTAATTGGGAAAAATTCTATCTAAAGTCACCTACAAATTATCAGGCAAAAACGTCTAAACATATCAGGATGTAGCTAAAGACTAAAGTGAGTTACTCTTGTTATATCCTGCAAATACAATCAAAAATGAGTTATATCAATAAATAAATGAATAATTAAATTAGCTAGTGGTCGACATATGTACAATGAGTAAGTGTGAATGCGGAGGAGACTTAAAACTTGTTCACTGAATCATATCCATCTCGAAAAAGAAATAAAATTCAAATTATCATATAAGTTATGACAATCGTAAATGTATAGCTCTGAAAATGAGATCCCCCAAGAAAATATCTCCTGGCTGACCTCTTCCATTACTTGAAGTTTCTGTAAAAATATGTGATACGTATCATAAGCTACAAATTGATTAAGACTTTAATTAACAAAAATGGAGCTAAAAAAAGTGAGTATATTGTGATAAAGAGAACTGAAATTCTGTAACTAGATCATGCTATGGTATTATAAATAATAATAATAATAATAGCAACAATAATAATAATAATAATAGCGTTGAATGCTTGATTAGGTACGCTGATTAAAAACAGTCCTTTATGCACATTTAATTCAAACCCTAACTATATAAGAGGACAGATTGTGGTGGAGTTTTGTTCTCTGAGCTGGATGGTTTGGTCGTGGAGCTTTCATCGTTCTTCTCCACGACCAACCCATCCAGCTCAGAGAAAAAAACTCCACCAAAATCATCCACCTGAGCTACAAATCTTCTCCACCATCTCAAGAGGACAGATTGTTAATCAAGGCTTTTTTCCTTGAATAGGTAAGAAATATGAAGGTTGCCACCAACTACGTACATATTTGTTCGTTGAGCTATGAATCACACGTCAGTTAGAATCAAACGTCTGATGATTAGAAGTGAAATGCCTGTATCAGAGTTCCATCGTGAATGATTTACGTGGTGTCCGGCCCCCAAATGCCCTGGTACGGCTGAGAGTGAGGAGAGTCAGCCCTTTCTCTCGAAATGCTCTCACATGGCCACGTACATACAATCACTGCCAAGGAAGTTCTACTCACTGCCTTCTCGCAACTAGGGTGTTGTTTACGAAAGTGAAAGGACAAAACGCGAATGTCCAGCGCTTTAACCGGGTTGATGGATATGGGGGATCCATCTAGAGGAGTTGAAAAACCCTAATTCCAAACCAATGGTGTACATGGTCTCCAGTATCCTGAAGGAACAAATGGCGTATGAACCAATTGTTGGTCACCGGCTACTGTGGGACTGAATCCCCTCACGTTGTTCCACTGCCTTGTGGGTCAGACCTTTAGGTCAAAGGTCGGGGTGCGGCCCCCTAAGAAAACCACCTGCTTCGGCCTGGGAACCGGGGCAGTATCACAGCCCACACACAAATAAAATGAGACGACGGTAGTTGATGAAAATACTATTCTCACCTCGACTAAAAGTCAGACAATTCACATTCAGTTTTTTCCTTTTTTACTACGTCACTTATTCACTTTTTTTATTCCCACTTTGTGCATCTGTTATGTCCCGGCGAGAATAATAAATGGTAACTTTGGGGATCTATTGATTGACCAATACTAAAGGTATATTTCTATTATATAATTATTAAGCAACTAAACTATGCATATTCATATTCCTCTTATTCTAAGTTTTATTTTGACCCATAAACCATTATTATACGTTTTAACATACTTGAGTTATACCCAGTATACTAAATACTACCTCCCTCATTCACAGCCACATCTGGCTAATTCTTGTGCAAATGTTTCATATTTTATTGGTACGTTGTGGTCTGTTTGGTTGGTATAAAAACACAGTATGTTTGAAATATAGCGATTCATATTACAGAGGCTGGGACTGGTGTTCTGGACTTAACTGGCTGGGCTAGGCGGAAAGCAGAACCAATCAGGAATCTAGGCTGCTCGCACGTGTTTTACGCGCCCTTGGTCCGATCGATAATTCGCTGTATCTGATTGGCGGCTTTGGGCCAAAACAGTATCCTTATTTTTCGGCTTATACAGCAGCTCGCCTATGGTGGAAACTCGGTTCTATCTAAACGTTCTCGAGTCACTGACTGATCGAAAATTCAATGCTACCACCGAATACGAATACTGAAACAGTTTTTCTGAAACCACGTGCATCATTCAAACTGGCTTCCTTCAACGTTCGCACATTTATGCAGATCCGGGGACCCAGTGGCATCTTCGTCTCGTCTTGCTGGTGTTGGTGTCGCACTAAGCGCTAGAGCTGAGGCAGCTCTAATCGATTGGATCCCCATTAACAGTCAGTTATGTGCTGTTAGATTAGAAAGTTCCATCAAAGTGAGGAGAAATCAGCGTGAGAAACGATGTCTTTTCGTCATCTCCGCCTATGTCCTCACAGATTGCAGCCCAGATGCAATCAAGGATGAGTTTTACCACCAGTTATCTGTTCTTCTCCACAAAGTGCGTTCGACAGATATTGTGGTACTAGCCGGAGACTTGAATGCTCAGGTCGGGCGTCTAGGCACAGAAGAGAGTCGTTTAGGTGGCCGATGAGGACTCGTTGGTCGCAGGACAAATAATGGGGACCGTCTACTGCAACTGTGCACAGACCACAACCTGTTTCTGGCTAGCACTAACTTCCCGCACAGTCGTCGCCGATGTGCCACCTGGCGTCCTCCCTCTGCATCTCAAGCCTGGACTCAGATTGATCACATCGCGATCAGCTACCGCTGGCGTAATTGTGTGCAAGGAATTCCAACTCCTAAAGCGCCACAAATCACCGGGCCAAAATGAATTGCCTCCGGCTCCTTTTAAAGATGGTGGTGAATTTCCAGTTAAAGAACTGACAATGTTGTTTACAAAGGTCTGGGAGCTAGAAAGCGTTCCAGCATCATGGAATGAGTCGATAGTTGTCCCTATCTTTAAAAATAGTTCACGTCGTTTCTGTAACAAATATCGAGGGATAAGTCTACTTCCAATTGCGTCCAAGCTATTGGCTTCCGTCATACTTCGTAGGTTGTTCAAAACCCGAGAAACATTGACTCGCGAGGAGCAGGCTGGCCTTCGTTCTGGTCGAGGATGTATTGATCATATCTTCACCCTCCGCCAAATATTAGAACACCGCCACAATTATCAAAGGCCAACAATCGTAGTGTTTCTTGACATCAGGGCTGCCTTCGATTCGTTGGACAGGACTTTTCTCTGGGACTGTCTATTGAAGAAGCGTGTGCCAGAGAAGTTTATTAACATCCTAAAAGCCATATATACTAACACATCAGGCAGAGTGATAACACACAACCCCCTTTCTCCATTGTTCCATTCAAGTAATAGGGTTAGACAGGGATGCCCAATCTCACCATTCCGCTTCAACTTTGCCATCGATGACATTCTGGAAGCAGCTCTGATTGATGTAGGTAATAGCGGTGTGAATCTGTTGCCTGGAGAAAGACTTCTCGACCTTGAGTATGCGGACGATATTGTCTTACCATGCGATGGTACCCAGGCAATACAATCTGCACTTCATCGGTTGGCAATCAGTGTCCGTAGGTACGGTAGCTGCTTTGCACCTTCGAAGTGCAAACTACTTTTACAAGACTGACAGGATCCTGATCCTTCACTCACCCTGAGTGGTGAGCAGATAGAAGTAGTCGAGAAGTTCGTGTATCTGGGTAGCTACACAAGTGCTGGTATTGACGTGAGTGATGAGATCAATGCACGTATAGTGAAAGTCAGAGAGGACTATGCCAATCTCGGCCATCTTTGGCGCCTTCGTGATTTTAGTCTGGCTGCAAAAGGTCGGATCTACAACGCGTCGGTGAGAGAAGTTTTGCTCTATGCTTGGGAAACCTGGCCTCTCCAAGTTGACGGTGTTAGATGACTCTCTGTGTTCGATCAACGTTGTCTCCGAAGGATTGCTGACATCCAGTGGCAACACCATGTTAGTAATGCAGAGGCTCGGCGTCGTGTGTTCGGGCACAGCGACGATAATGCAATTGGTGTCACTATCTTGAAACCTCGACTTAGACATTTTATGGCTTAGACATGTTCTACGAATGTCGTCCCAGAGAATTCCACGTCGTGCATTATTTGCCGACGCTGGGACTGGTTGGGAAGAGCGGAGAGGTGGTCAGTGTATGACATGGTGTCGTAGTATGAAAGAAAGCTGCAAAGGGCTGGCTTCTGTTGGTCCATCTCAACTCCCTGGCTGGAGTTCGAGAGATGGTGCAACACAGTAGATAGAGACGTTATCAGATATTGCTCAGAATAGAAGCCAGTGGTGATCCTGCTGTAACCTTCTTTTATTTTCCTCATAAAAAGTGGTTGTAACTTCCTTAACTGAAAGAATTTTTTCTCGTTGTACCTTTCCGTTTCCCCCATCTTTACTATTATTATTATTATTATTATTATTATTATTATTATTATGGCATTACCATATACTAATCTGTGGTTGTTATTGTTTTTTTCTTTTTTATACGCACCTTACATTCTTCTTCTCTTCCCATTCTCATTGTTTTGTGTGGCGCATATATATCTGGTGCCCCCTTGTACCAATATTTATGTGTTTAAATAAGTAAAATAAAATATTGGTGTCCGACAAGGCTGTCCACTATCTCCATTTTTGTTCAACTTCATCATAAACATACTGATGGAAACAACGTTCTCGTACACTAATTTTTCAGGAATCGATCTCCTACCAGGAAGTCCACATATCGACTTAGAATACCCTGATTACATAGTACTGTTTGGTGAAGACGTTGATAAAATGCAGTGTTTTAGTAGCCCTAATGGGTAGGTGTCTGACAAATCTCTGCACAAATTTAGAAAGCTCATTTGGTTTTTGCCAACTCACGTCTTCCATGGAGAGCGAGATATCTGTCTATCAATTAAGGGACGAGTATACTGCTCAGCAGTTCGTTCTGTTTTACTTTACGGCCGCGAAACGTAGCCATTAAGGGTAGAGGATACTTGTGGGTTACTAGTATTTAGTCATAGATGTCTTAGAAATATTGCTCGCATCTGCTGGGATCACCGGGTAATTAATAGTGAGGTCAGACACAGGGTATTAGGGAATGATGTTAAATCAGTCGATGAGGTTGTGAGTCTTCATCGACTGAGATGGTTGGGCCAAGTGTTACTTATGCCTGAATACCGATTACCACGACGCGCAATGCTGACCAGTGTTGGGGATGGTCGGAAGGAATTTAGGGGCGACCAAAACAAAACGTGGCATCAGAGCTTGAAGTCACTAACGTCTGCTCTGAGCCATGTTGGTGGATGCAGACTACTTGGTTGAGGTCCGCGTTGGAAACTGGGTGGTATGGCTCAGAATCTATCACAATGGAGAAGGTGTATGCACTCTTTGTCTTCTCTTAGACGGTGAGATTAAAATTATCTTATACCTTCCTTTCTACGAACCAATTGCTTCTCCTTGTATCCTTATATGAAATCTTTCTTTTATATATTACTACCATTGAAGTAACTGCTTCTATGAATTTGGTGTTTATCCTGTTGTGCTAGTGATGTGTGGCAACTTGGACCGACGCATATATGAACCTGGTCCTACGTTGTAGCTGAGTGACTGCAGTCACGCTCTCAGATCACTAAGAACAACTCTAGCCCCATTTCCTTTTCAGGTACTCCTAGAAGAACCCTTACATAGTGTGGGCAATCCGGAAGTGATAACCACCCTCATATCTCTAACAGCACTCGAGACCACTGACTAACTGACTTATCAAAATGATGACAAGTACACTGATTAATATAAAGGAAATCTTACCCGGATACTTTAAACTAATATTACCGAACTCGTTAAAGTCTTTCATTGATGGTCTCTTCTCAAAAACCTTGCATAGGAATTCGTGAGCTTCAGATGAACCAGATATAGGGGAAAAGTCCTATGTAAACAATGAATTTGAATGAATAGGTAACATGTTATCGAATAATATCTATTATAACTAAAGAAAATACTTTTTTTTAAAACAATATTCAAGTAACAATGAAATCACCAACTGCTATCAATATCTTCCTAAATGCCTCTTACTAGTGAATTAAAATAGATTTACATAGATATGAGAAATCTATTGCTGGTGATTAGTAACAATGAACACCCGAGCCTCATATGTTGGAAACCTTACCCAATGAATTCTTATTTGAAATGACGATACAACTTTTTGAACCAAGTATCTGTTGCAACAGTGTTGATTATTTGAGGGCCTAGAAACTATGACATATTACAACAATAGGGGAAAGCATCAATTCATAAGTTTACATACTCCTCTTAATAGTCCCCTTCATAGATTAACATATTACTAACAACTGCTACGTAATTGTAAAGATATGTTTGCATCCTTTGTGAGGATTTGTGGACGATTATCCCATTGATGATGATGCAGATCACCAAAAAGAAAAGTAGTTTTCAATTGGGCAAAATCTACACCCGACAAATTAATTCAATATTCTCAATGTTCAGTTTTTATTTCACTTTATTAGTGTAAATACATCAATTTCGGAAGTGTTACGTGGAGAATTAAAAAGGCGAACGGTCATTTGACTTTTTAATCAACACCATGATTACCACAAGTGTTATTTGCACTTACAATGTTTATCGCTTATATCTTATATTATTACAATCTTATCAAGTTTTAGAAGACGTATTCCACCCAGTCTCATTTATTTTATCGGTACTTAACTTTCATTTATAAATTAGCTGTAATTGAAGCCACTATTATAAGGATAAATTATAATTATAAGCATGAGATATTTGTTTTTTACACTTGTTTTGCAGTTTCGCCTTCCTTGTAAACCCGAACTCCTCTGTCAAGAAAATGCTTGTACTGGTGCCTACTGACTATCATACTTAGGGGCTTCAGAGGTCAGATCCTACTGCTTTGATTTTTATCGGCCTCATCCTGCGCTTACCAACCTCAATATCATCTGTGGTTGTGATTCAGGTTTAAGTAAGTGAAGAGCAGCTGTAGGCTAGTTGATATATTGAGGTATCCTAGTCAACGTTTCAGCCTACTAATCCCAGGAATAATAAATATTCAATCCTCTTTTATGATAGCTATACTAAGCATCGCCTTTTTCAAACCGCTTTGATTAAATTAAGTAACTTCCAGTTATTACCTATCCCTAATATCCTTTTTATCTAAAACCACTGGTCACAGATTACTTACAATCTTCAACGATATTTTCAAGTAGACTGAATACTTTACTAAGGTAGGTCATAAATGAAACCACTCTTGACAGTCCGTTATCACACACTTATTGCTTTTATCTTCAGGTCTATCATGAGAAACCTTTTTAGTAAATGATGAAAATGCAGAAAAGCAACAGACTAACATTTATTCCCTTCAATGGTGATCAACAACAATATGGTCAGTAAGGCTTCATAATTTGAATGATATAAAAAGTTATCAAGTTCGATTTTTTAATTATTTAACTCGCATTTGGAAACTCTGAGACTTTAAGAGTGCAGAAGATCATGAGAGATGATAAAGTGACAAAGAGCCCTCTAATCACCTGGATTGATTATCCAAAAATGATTTTGATCGGCTTATCATTCTTAATACTAGGGAGAGTAAATAAACCAGACATTCATTTCACATTACGTTGGATTGTAAGGGTCTTGAAACCAAAGTACACAAACAACTTCTTATCATATGACCATAAGTACCTTCGAGGTACTATCAGCAAACAATAAAACGACCGAATTAGCAGCGCGAATGCTAGATGTAGAGTATTAAGTAAAGGCAGTAAATCGGTTATCAAGGTCGTGTTCCTTGATTAACTAGGGCAGTTGCGATATGTAGTATACATAATCTGCTGCCGCCTACATCAATGCATTGTGTTGGTCAGCAAAAGTGGATTGGAAAAGCTAAGGGCTTTCAAAATACGATATGGCATCAGTCTGTCAGTTGTTGTTTTAGTAGAATAGTAGTTTAAATATCAAAAAATTCCTCTCTACACTCACAAGTTTACAGGTTCGAAACGCGATTCACCTACTGTGGCTTGTGTAGCCTGGTAACATCACTGATCCTGATACAGAACTTGTGACTTGAAGCCAGATACTGAGTTAGGAGATACATATATCGTAGTCGAGATTCATGCGATGCAGTTTATCTCGAAACCAACCACAGGAATAGTTTCGCATTTGTTTCTCTTCCTGTTAATTCTGAGTTTCTTTTCATGACATACATTTTGTCCCATGGTTATATTTTCTTCAAATAGTCGATACCTGTTGTTTTGTTTCTCTTTAATTCAGAAAAGTACAATATGTGAAATGTTATCTGCTTCACTGAAATCACAGTTTTTACACTACTTATTTTCTTGTGACATTTTAAAACTGCTATTAACACTTTTGTATCACGCTTAAAGAGATGAACAATGTCTATTCTTCCAAAACATGAATCTCTTTTAGAAATAAGTTACACAAAACAGGTATAACCTATACAAGATATAAACCTGTTTGTCTAGCTGACGGACATTAACCAAAGTCGAACTAAGAGTATGTTCGCGTATATAAACCCTTTAATTATGCTTATTTACGATCCTTTTGATTCTCGTAAGGTATGGAGTGGCCAGTGATTAACGCTGAAAGAAAAACGATAGGAACCAAAGGTAAAGTATGTAAAAACTTTAACTATAAATATATTGGTAAAAGTTTATACACAATACTGTCAACATAGAGCTTAGGCGAACACATCTCTAACTATTTCTTCAGAGTATTACTCTTCATGATACGACTAAAAACAAGCAGATAGAAGAAATCGAACATTGAACCCAAAAAGCAACAAGAATGTGTATCGAGTGATTATGACATAGCATATGCCCTTCTTTAATATAGATAACTCTTATTAATTGATATTTTGAACGCAAAAAGCAATAGAAAAATTACTGTGGAATTCAATTAATCGAACCAGTTAGGTACAAAATAGTTAGGCTTTACTAAGTAGCAGATAGTCTATTGTAAAAGAGGATAAATGAACTATAATACTAACCTTATTAATTAGTTCCGAACTTAAACCAAGATAATTGTGTAACGCGTTGAAGCTCAAACGCTGAAGTCTAACTGCAATCATCTGGATAATGCGAAAAAGAGGTGTTTGTGTTTTGCATATTTCCAAAAATGATCGGGCCGGTAAGCATAATACAGTTGTGGGCTCCAAAGCGACTGCTTCCATGAACTCAAAAGTTGAAGGATAACCAGTAAGTATACTCAGAACAGATAGCAAACTATCAACACTCCCACCTTTTCCAACTTCAGCGATGATGCACTTGGATCCATCCTATACATTTAGACCCAAGAGAAAATATTTAGTAGGCATAGTAATGCTCAGAAAATATTCAACTCAGAAAATCAAACAAGTATTGACATAACAATATTGTAACTATAAACCGTGAAAATAAACGGTTTGGTGACACATTTTTGATATCTGAATATGAATTAATTTAGCTAGGTAAAACGATGTAAACAAGTTGCTGTACTTTACAGAAAATATCAACAAAACTGAGGACTGAAAGTAGTAACACTATCATAATTATAAACTTGAAACAACCAAAAAGCAGGTTAAAGCGACAAATGATATCAGGGAATAAAAACTGACATGTTTTGTTCAAAGCATAGTAAGATAAAGGATAAAATGAGAATCCTTTATTATAGCAAGCTAATCAGATTCCAGATAGTATCAGCTTTTATTATTTGTAATTTAAATCCGGAGAGGAAAAACAAAGAGTCAAGTTAACTCATTATCACGTTGACGATTTAGGGAAGTCCGAAGAGACAATCACCGGAGACAGACAAAACTATATATATATATATATATATATATATATATATATATATATATATATATATAATGGGTGTCAGTGGATATTTTGTCAAAAAAACCAATAGTAGCAAACTAGAATTCATAACTATAAAAGTGGACAGCACCAACTTTTCAGGTTATTAGCAGACGTACTATGGCTTGTATGATATCAAAAATTTTATAGTGAACATGGATTTCTAATAAATCGTGTTGCGAAATGTCTGACCAGTATTTGACAAATTTAACCGACACTGAATCCCCCAATATTTTGAACTGATGAGAAATAACGCGTTTTTAGCCTGTGTTTATTGTTGTAAACAGTCAAAATAAACTGTTGTTGGCAAAATATAACATGCTGCCTACCAAAATGGTATTGAAGACTTACCGGTTCTGTGACAGTGATTTGGATTCTACCACTACGAATAACATACACATATTTATCTTCATCTCCAATACGGAACAGATACTCGCCTACATTTAGCTCTATTGTCTCAATGAATTTGCAAAACCTTATAAAAAATGATTTTTCCAGTTGCCCAAAAACCCTTATCGAACTTATCATCAAGCGGAGATCTTCTGGTAATGAAGAGACATCTTCCTCATCTGGTTCAAAAAACGACTCAGGAAGTCGACCATAGGCCAGCGTCGGCGACTTTTCGATGTCATGCAACTTGAAGATTCTGTAGGATGAGGGTTAAAAACAATCAAATCACTTTCTCGCGAAATTTATGATAGTAGTTCTCCGTTCTTCCTTTGTCTGTACCTTTTTTAACTCCTCCGTTATTTCACTGAATTTGCGCCCGAATCTGATTGCATGGTACCTGATCTTATCTCTTCGGCGAAATCCCCGAGGAACTTGAGTAGATTTAACACGCAAAGGCACTATGTCAACATAAAAATTAATTTAGAAACATTAAAATACCATGCGACTTTAAGTGCCGTAGTAGTAAAAATGTTGATAGACCCAGCAAAAATAGAGTCAGTATGAGGAGGACCGTGGCATTCTGTAAATCTCGAGAAATTCCAACCCAGCTACTTACATACGACAAAAGAAGGCTCGGGAATATTTCTGCCAAAATACCTTCTCTTATACTTATAAGGACTCCAGAGTAAAACAAAGTGAACTTGTTAATAAGATCATAGAAGGTTTCATATATATTTGAACTGAAAGAGGAAACTCTATCACAAACTGTGCTGAAAAACTGCATAACATCAAACTGAGTAGCCAGTCATTCAAATCCACGCTCTAACTCAAAGAAAAAAATTTGAGTGTCATAACTAGTGAACTACTTAATCCTTGGGATCTGTATCGGAGTAGTCTGAGAATTTTCTTGCCACTTTGAGTTTATAGTTCCTATTATGTTCCTTCTGTGACTGTAGGATAAAGTCTTCCTTGTCGTATCGTAGAATCCAAAGTGATCGTATGTTGACATTTCGTATCTTTAATTACGATTTGGGTGTTAATATGTCTTATCTCTTTGCTCCCTCCATCACTAATAATCTCCGAGGTCATAGCGAGAAGATTCACAAACTGCGATCTAATAAACTAAAGTGGCTGGAATGTCTTACCCGAGCAAGTGTTATCAGCTCTATCAGTGAATATTTTGAAGCTGAACCCTTACTGGAAGACAAACTGTAAGGACTGACACAAGTCCACCAACCCACTATCCTTATTACCAAAGACTCATATTGGAAGTTGTATAACCTAAAGAAATGGACAATAAAGATCCATTAGTCAACAACTTCAGCCCTACGAGTAATTGCAGGACTGCCTCTGCCAAAGGTTTCGTGCTCTTATGGGCTTGTAGCGGTAAATAAATCCCCAAAATAAATAGCCCTAAGTTTCCGACATTGGATGCTGACCATATGTTTTAGTGAACTCATCTAGCTGAAGGCTCTCGGTCATGCATCCGCACCAGATCACGTGTGGTAACGCCGTGCTCAACATCAACCGCAATCACTAGGCAGATTAGATCAGAGAATTCCGATATATTGGGTATCGCCAAATACACTCTCCCGATCTCCTCGACTCTGTCTTTTGATTTCTCTGGGTGGGAATGAATTATATTAGAAGGTGTTACTGGTAAAAGCGTTGTCAAACACTGAATACCTGCGTCATCTTCAGGCTGTTTGCAACTCAGTACCTGAGCAAAGAAATTATTAGGGTATTATACGTGACTTTCGTGAGGCCGTATTTGGAATGTGGGATTCAAACAGAGAGTCCTTGTTTCAAGTATGAGACAGATATGCTAAAACGGTTTCAGTGGCAAGGGACCAAAATGGTATAATGTCTGTCTGGCCTTACTTATGAAGACGAACTGAGACGTCTCGGCCTATTTCCATTAAGCTATCGCAGGTTATTGAGTGATCCGAAAATGGCTCACTGTATATTGAATAAAGATCTTGTTGTTTTATCTTCTTCCATTTAAGGCTGATCGTCTGAAAGGATATTCTATAAAAATCCAGAAGACCGAGATCCAATCGCATGTGCCTTGGCTATCCTTTCTCCCATGGAGTGGTGAATTGCCGGATTTCTCTAACAGGATACGTAATATTAGAACCTTCTTTTGATACATTCAAAGTGCGATTGGATCTCTACACTACTACAAATTGCAAGGATTAATGAAATCCCCCTATCCTTACTACTGAAGGCTGAATTAGTGGCGGAAGTGAAGGACTTTCAATAGTTAGCCTTAGAACACTCCAGAAGGTTCCGTTACTTCCCCCGCTGGTAATAAGTTCCACGGTGTGTCGATTTTGAGAACACCCAACTCATCACGAATTTTTCACCAGTTCGTTAGTGTTCCTGCTGAAGATGCCACAGGCGCTTGGAGTTTTACAACTCTTTAACCAGTAACACCTTCTACTATGAATCGTCACAATTGATTGATCACTGGGGTGGTGATCATTGTCATGTGTGTCAAGTCCTTTTTAGTGCAGATCGAATGCCATCGACCAAGTTGCAATGTGGCCACTAGTCTAGGTGACTCGACATAGCGTGCGCTGTTTTGAGATTAAATGGTGATTGGAGGTAGTCAACAGGATCGAATCCCTCAGAGAGCACCAGTTCCCTCAAGACTACAGGTACACCCTGCCAAGTAGCACAAAACCCGGTCCAGGGTTTCCCGTTAACTACTTCCAATCACCAACTATGAATCGTACACACTAAGTGAAATCAAAAGAAAAAAAGCGAGGAGGTTCGTAGATATATTTGATAGGCTATCAATAAACATTACGCAAATCGTCAAACTGCATCACGAGGCAAGCCCTAACTTGGAATCCTGAGGGGAAGCGAAAAAGAGGAAGGCCAAAGAACACATTGCGTCGGATAATAGAAGCAGATATGAAAACGATGAATTACAACTGGACGGAGCTAGAAAGGATTGCCCAGGACAGGGTTGGATGGAGAACGCTGGTGAGCGGCCTATGCTCCTTCACGAGGAGTAAGAGGCGTAAGTAAGTAAGTAATCAATAAACTGAGGATCGATCGACCTAATCTGTCTAGCGATTGCGAGGGATGTTGAGCACGGCGTTCCCACTCGTGGTGTGGTGCGGATGCATGATCAGGCGCCTTCAGCTAGGTGAGTCCATTAAAACTAATGTGGTCAGCATCCAGTGTCGAAGACTTGCAGCGCTATTTGTTTTGGGGACTTATTTACTGCTACACTACCTAAATGGTCGTATTTTTATGTGTAGCTTACTATTAGGTTTTAACATTGATTTGTCAGGATGAAGGGGATTACGAGTGACATGATGAATCAATCCTTCTGCACTGAAAAGGTCCCAAATTTAGGGCTTCCAGACGACCTGAGACGGATTTATTTTGTAGTCCGAGCTTACTTAACCCTCTTCAAATATGTTCCAATATAATAATGTCATACTGAAAAAAGGGGGCATAATGTGGACGTTTTTCATGGTCGAGACGTTAATTAAACACTGAAAACAATGTTGAGCAGTTGAAGAGTCAGACTACTCAAGGTTTAGCAAAGGAACATCGGGATAGAATATACTGTGTTGGTTGCAGAATCCTCATTGCAGGAGATACCTAAAGTATCACGCAAGGTGATCTGTAGATTTCATTTATAATGGAAAGTGTGGTGCTGGTATCACTTATCACTACATTTTACCATTCGCTTGTAACAACTTGGGTTAATTGATCAAGAGTTGGCACCAAACATCTAAGTAAATGTCAAGACACTATAGCCCAAGTATTTATTCACTCCCTTACTTTGTCTGGGGATTATAATTTCAATTATGTTATATTGTGGGGCAGTCATAGTGGAGCCAGGAACTACCTGTTCAAATACACAAAGCTTTTCAGCATTCAATATAGAATAATTGGAAATATAATGTTTGTACAAAACAAGGAGGTTAATGAATACTTGAGCTCTATTGTTTCGACATATAGTTGTTCCAGATTAACCCTTAACCAATTAACTTAAACTGTTACATATCACACTGCTATGACGATAACTAATGGTTTACGTTATATGTGGTTTGGAGATTATAAGGACAAACAACTGATCGGAGAATAAAGGAAGAGCAGTTTGAGGATGCAAAATTGCAGAGTAAGACGACAAGTAAAAAAATAATTGGGTGATAGTAATGATAAAAGGTTTTGTACTAGTATAATATAAGCTAGTGGGGATTCTCGATAATTCGGAATATTTTCTGAGCTTCCTATGATCGGACAGCCTCTGGTTTTCCACCCGAGCCGTCTCTAGTTGCATTAAGTTTTATTGGGTCGTGGTCCAAGGTATTTCTAAGGCTCAATGTGTGCAACACCATCAATGGTTGTAGAGATAAAAAGAAAACTCAAGAAACATTTTTTGAATCGTTAAAAAGGAGAAATATGAAGTACGTAAAAAGAGTAAGCGAACAAAGCACTGTTTGAAACACGACATGTCAAGTGTCAAATTACAGAGGCTATTTGGGGGTCGAATAATTGAAGTTTGTGACATGGTCACTGAGTGTCAGTCAGTTAGATGTTAAATGGATCACCGGTAAATGCGGCTTGGTTTAGGTAAGCTCCGTCGAGCCAGTCCACAAAACAGTTTAGAAGAGATTTAAATTCAGCGATCGTTTGAACTGACCAGATGTCTACCGGTAACGTATTCCAAAGGCATGCGTAGCGTGTGACAAAGAAAGTTGACTTCAGTTTGCTTGATGTTCTATTTTTATTTTATAAATTGGGAGACGGTCGCCCAGCCTCTAGTTTTTTTGTCTGTCGAAAGCTTCTATTGTTGCCAAGTACTGGTTGAATGTTGAGAATAGCCAAAAATTCACGCTAAAAAACATTTTCGCAACTTCTGCGGCTTAGATCTGACTTTTATGGGAATATAATCACAATACAGGACGTAATTTTGTTATAAGTGAGGCGATCAAGTTCAAACAGGTCCTGAGATTAAAATAAAGGACGACACCAGAAGAAAAAACCCCGTCCCAACTAAGACCACGCAGAGGAAATTCAGAGTAGAACCAGACGGTATTTGCAAAGTTTCTGATGGTATCTATGAGAACTTTTGTTCTATTAGAAGTACAAAAGCATTTCCGCACAATGAATTGACTGACTACAACCTTGTTATCACTGCCTGGAAATTCAAGACTAGTGTATCGATTATATGTTGGAGCATTGTGTATGGAACTCAGGTCTAATGGGCTAGTATTTTATGATAGGCCCGTTGACCTGCTTGTTTCTAGTACTTCAGTGAGCTTTTCAAAGTGAAAACCACGTAATGGATTCCGACTAACGGATGGTATACTGAGATCGCCACCTATCAACTTAGCTGCATGTAATAGCAATAAGTGTGTGAATACTTGATTTGAATGTGTATCCGTTACATGCAGCCTATTATAAAATGCTGATAGACATAATTATCGACACTGATGAACATAGCGTCATTTAACAGTTTGCAATCCTCTGGAAAGATTGTTGTGGATAGAATATGAGATCACAAATATATTATACAGCCTCCACCTTTGCTTGAATGTCGATCTTTATGGTTTCTTCACAACACATATGTAACAGCTCAGGTTGGTTGGTTAAGAGTTGACCCCAAACAACCAAGCATATGCCAAAACAGTATTGTTCAAGTATTCATTCACTTCCTTATTTTTTATAAGCGTTATATTCCCTATTATCTTATATTGAATGTTGAGAGCCTTTGTTTGTCTGAACAGATAATCACTCACTCCACTGTGACTGCGCGAAGATCGAAATAAAGACCTATTCACTACTTCCCTGGTTTCTTCT